CAGAGAGAAATCATGCTATTGTAATAATATGCAATGATGTGACGTGAATCTGGATGATAAATATCACAGTGAATCATAATTCCGAAGAAATTGTCCGGAAGAATGAGAATGGAAGAAAAAGAAAAAATTCTTTATCCACGGATCTTGTGACATTCATGCACAACATTCCAAGTATAATTCATCACGGATCTAATCTTGATTCTCGATCGTTCGCAGCTGTTTTGTGGATTATTACGAGTTTTATTTGTACGTTGATTTATTTTACAGTAATTTTCCATCGTAAAAAAGAATTTCTTTGGTTAATATTATTACGATATTGAAATATCATCAATCAAACGTGGAGATCCATTCACGTGTTATTCTTTATAATACAATTTGTGCACAAATTTTACAAACAAAATTATTTTTTATAATAACGAAATTTTCTTAGAATCTAGATTAATTAGAATTCCTCGGACAGCTTACTATTAAACAGGATCGAGAAAGAAAATCATTCGTCTGTCAGAATTAGAATTACACAAGTTTTAACAAATTAATGTATTATTATATTATTTTTTTTTTCTCTCATAGAAGAGAAACGACAGAATGCTTGCTTAATTGGTAAACAGGATTTATTATCCGATTTCTGGGATAATATTAGGCAAGCACGAGGATCAAGGGAGATCCATTAAAGGATCCCACGAATGTGACGCGTTCGAAGAAACGTCTGATCTCGTATGTAACGCACGAACGTGTTACATCACGCCATCGCGTCTGGTTATTTCGATCGGACGAAATCGGATTTGTCACGCTGCTGATGTGTCAATGTGTGCCTTTTTTTTTTTTTTTTCTCGTCGAATCGAAGATGTGTAAGAATCGTTACCTTCGCGTGCCTCTCGATTCTGATAAGATTACGATGATTTTTGTTATTTACATTACATCGATTTCCTGTTTCAGATCGGGAAAATTACCGAGACGATTCGATTCGATTCGGAAAATGGACGGAAATCGCATCCATTTTTATCGAGATATCGGTTTTGATTAATAAATAAAATGAAACGGGAGTCAAATACATATGGAAATTTTGAAATATATAAGTCAATGATTGAAATTTTATAGAAAATATAACAAATATTAAAATGCAATTGCAAAATTAATCCTAAGCGAGAAGAAGATCAAATCTATCTGGAACGCGTATCGATGGAATTGAAACTCTTCAGGGTTATATATCTCGTTGGATCGATGTTGCGTGATTTTTCGATATTTTTAAAGGGAAAAAAAAAAGAAATTTGGCGTCGCCCAACGTGGGGCTCGAACCCACGACCCTGAGATTAAGAGTCTCATGCTCTACCGACTGAGCTAGCCGGGCCACCTTGCCAACACGAGCACCCTTTCTCTTGGGAATCCTTCTTCAAATATCCTCGGAAACGATCACTTCTAACAATTAAATTAAGTTAAATACACCTGAGAAGGTTTTTATACCGGCTGATAAGCGTATAAAAACATCGAAATGGTCCGATCAAAGAAATCGTTGTGCCAATATTTCTAAGCTTATTCAAGGATTTAATTGATCAAACGAGCCTAATCGTCGTTTATTCTTTTATCTCTCGACAAACAATACCATTGGATGACAATATCTTTACCTTAAAAGAGAAGTATTAAGAAAAACGATTGATAACAACGCCTTATCACGAACTCGGTTCTTTGACATTATTATTATTATTTTTTTTTTTTTTTAGCTTTTTATCGTAACAATATCGAAACAACATCAAAGACCGTACCGTGCCCGTCTAGATCACGATCAAAGAGGAGGCACGGATACGTCTTGGAGCAATGAATTTCCCCTTGAGAAACAGAGGGAGAGAGGAGGATTCGGTGTGAGGCGAGCATTAACCGCCTATATTTGCGATAGGCCGATGCTTGGCAAGGCTCCAAGGGATGGTCGCTAGCACGTTGAGATTCTTAGAAACAGGCTGCTTCCCCTTCTTCCTCTCTGTATCTTGCTCTCTCGCCGCGAGTACACTCGCAGGTCGATGTACGATCATCGGGTTTTCTGGGTTAATCACCGTGCTTTCCGACGTGCGCGCATATGTACCATGTATTTACGAGCTTCTAATGGATCTTCGATACGATCCAAGATGAGATAAGTCCGCGATGAGATGTCGTGTAAATAGGTGTTATAGTGTAGGGTCGTGTGAATTGTATCGCGATGCATGGTCGATTATTTCCCGATTTTAGATCCGATTTTATGTTATTATATCGTATTCTTTTTTTATTTTATCCTTAAATATAATTAACGTATATATTATTATTGTTATTATTATTATTGGAATCGATAGAAAGATGCGTTGAATTTAACAGGATATTAGATTCGATACGTGTGTTTGAGATCATGTGGGCAAAAGTTGAATTAATCGGTTGTCAAAGCGAGTTGGTTGGTTTACGATTGAAATTTTGAAAGAGGTAAAATTATAAATCTAGATTACGGAGTGTCGGTACGGAAAAAAAAAAAAAGAAAAGAAAAATAAAAATGTCGAAAAATTAAGATAAATGACTGCAAGTGTTATAAAACACGTCTTGCACGAAGTGTTCCGCTTTCTCTTCTTTCTTATACCTATTTATGACTGACAAGTTCAAATTATATAAAGTTAGATAGATATAAAAGTATTGGCAGTGGTGTTGGTTTCGAGAAATGTTAGAATTGAGTTTTTTTTTCTCGAGATGAATTTGAACGCATTGTAATAAAATAGATCGATGAAATAATGATTGATGAAATTTAATAGGTTTAGATTTAAATAATTAAAAAAAAAACGGTAAATGATATAATAAATGAAACAATAATACAAATACTTTTTATAATCATACAGTATATTTTATAGTATATTGTATAGTATGTATACAGGGTATTAATATATTGGTATTCATTTCGAAACAAAAATTGATATGTAAAAATAAATTTTAAGGCTTATTTATCATGATAAAATTTTTTAAATTCGCAGAATACAGATCTCCCTCTTTTTCCATTTTCAATCAAACTTCAATTGCTTGCTAATTCGATAAATAAGCCTCGATCGATATTTTTATACATCAACTTTTGTTCTCGTCTCTCGAAAAATCGAAAAATCATAAATTTTTATTTTTTCTTATCTTTTTCTTTTTTCAGACAAAACTATTAATCCTCCGCATCAAATCTCATTTCACAAAAATTCTCTCGAGATTCGTTCGTTTGGATCGTTAAAAATCGATCGTTAAAAAAGTCGTTCATCGATCATTACGAACGTGTTCAGATCCACGTATACGATGAAAAAAACAACATTCTCCTTAGATTGATACGTCGTTTCCGCGAACGAGTCATTCTCTCCTTCTCGTGATTAATAGAGTTCATGTGTATACAATAATAAATACAATAATAAATTAACGATCGCGCGCCTTCCATGTGTTGTTATTATTTAAAAGGCACGAGAAGGATAACGAGAACGGCGTAATTAACGATATTATAATTCCAATATATAAACATAACATTGTACGCGCCACGCTCGCTCCGCTGTTATTATTACTTAGTCGATCGCGACGATTCACGGGAGACGGGTCGAAATCACAGATCGTAGAAATTATTTAATTAATTTGAAAAATTATTCGATCGATTGAAACAAATTTTAAAGTAGAGGCTTAGTTTTTTTTTTTTAGAAATCGAATCGCGTGATTCAGATTGGAAAAAGAAAAAGAAAAAGAAAAAGATCGTGTAATTATCGCGCATTTGTTGTTAAATTTGTTATTATGCTTGTCGTTTAATGAGCATGGAATTGCTATAATGATAATTGCAATATTGTGTTTGGTAAGTTTGATAACGCGTGTGCGAACGACGCAATGTTTTTTTATATTTAATTTTTAAATATATATAGTTACATATATAGGGAATGTAGGAGAGAAATTTGTGTAATTTGTGAAAGAAAAAAAATTTATATATTTAATTGGCGTATATTTTATCGTTTAAGAAGTTTTTGTACAAATTCTTAAATTTTTATAATAGATAGGAGAGATTGTATAATCAGCATTTAACGTTTAAAAAAAAAAAAAAAGTGATTTACATTGAATACTAATAACACAAAGCGGATAAAAAGAAGAATTAATCAAGTTAATATTTTTCTTGCGAGTGCAAAAAGAAGAAGCGAGTTTCTTTTTATTTTTTATTTTTCTTTTTTACATAGAAAGTAATAAGAAACTGTTAATATTTATATCGAAAATATGGTAAATTCCATTTGTACGAACCTGTTCAAGATAAGCAAATTTATATAGCCAAGTTGTTTATGCAATAACGGTTTTAATTATCCCCACTGGCTATGATTTTTCATTCAATTAATAAGGGTCCATTTGCACATGAATACGTAATAACGTTTCATATATTTTACGAAGAATTTGGGGAAAAAAAGGAAGGTCTTGCATACGTGATATATAATTATTTAATAAATGAAGAATTCATTTATTTTGCAGCGGTGACACAGTTTAATAAATTAATATCTCGAATTAAATACAGATGATCCTCCCCGATTTTTTCGAATTAATTAATTCCCGACCGTTCGTAAATTGGGAATTTGCCTTAAATAGAATTTTGTAATCGAAAAAGAAATATGAAACGAATATTAAATTATAGAATTATTGGCCAAGGATTTATAGTATATTAAAAAAGTAGGGTAAGAAAATTTTCATTGCGCGATTTCCTGTGCACACTTTTAATTGGCTTCGTATAATTTAAATTAAAAAAAATTCCAAAAAATTTCTAAAGTGAGAGGTACGATTAGTCATAAAATTTTTCGTCTCTTGTTACAAGGTTCTCAATTAACAAGCCATTAAAATCAACAAAATGTTATTGTTTTTAATGAAACTTTGGAGCATAATCGATTATATAGGGAGCAATTTTTTTTTTTAAACAATATCTTCAATTTTGAATGCTTTTGGAGTAAAATTTTAAATTATTATTAAATATCCAGGCGAAATTATTCGATGCAACACAAATTTTCAAATTTAAAAATTTTCGAATTATTTAATTTTTTATAGTGTATAGAAGAAAATTTTTTTTCAAAACTCCATCCATAATATTTAATATTCGTTACATTTTATTCCGAAGAATTCTCTCTCATTTTCCATTTCAAAATTCTATTTTAAATTCACCTTTAACCACAATTTCGCGCTAAAATTTCTTTCTCGAAACTCTTAGGAAACCATGTTCCAAGAGAAGTGATCACCGAACAAAGGTGTCCCTCCTAACTTCTAATATTGAGAGCTTGACACATCGGGAAGTCAGTGGCTCGAAGCCAAGAGAGACAGAGAGAGAGAGAGAGAGAGAGAGACCTCCTCGTTCGCTGGACGATGACCCTGAATGTTCACCTAACGTTCCATCCACAATGATTCGATCCCCTCGAATGATCGATCTCGACCGAATCGCGGATCTGGAAAATCGGATCGAAGTAATCCGTGCCACGGTGTCGCGTGAACCGTGACGCGTTTTCCCGGATGATCGGCCCCGTGGACTTTGTCACAAAGCCCTGGCCAATGGCGAAACTCGTTTTTGCAAAGTGATCGTTCATCGAGACGCGATCGAAGCTTGGTGAAAAACGACGAAAAGAGGTTTAAAAAAAAAAGGCGTTGGTTTCGAACTAACCGACTGGCCGAACAAAGTCAATTACAGGGAACAACATTGGAACGGGTCGAGTCGTACCGGATGCACTACTCTCTCTTTCTCCCCCTGTTGTTTTGTTGCTTTTATTAGGAAACGAAGGTAGCCAGTTCTAATACGATTGAAGTAACTCGAATCTCAAGGGAGAAGGTAAAAATCTTCGAAATTATAGAGGTTTCATCTTGTTCGCGTTATACAATGGTTCGTGAATATATTTGAATAAGTTTTTTATTTTTATTTTTAACGAAAATTCGGGATGTAATTGGGTGGTAATGTAAATTCGGGATCGGTGAAAATTCAAAATTTCAACGCGTGTTCATTTTTCACGTTTGGGGAAAATTTTTAAATTAAAAAAAAATTAGATTATATTTTCGAGGTTAATTAATTTTAGAAGTTATTCAAGTTATTAATTCGAATATCTATAAGGAAGTATAATAGGAATTTAATTATAATCGTTACAACAAGACGGCATTAACGTATCGCGTATTTCTCCTCAGTTTATCCTACTTATGTAGTTTTGCTATCGAGATATTTTTCGTATAGTTATCAGCATGAATTATTCGACGAATTATACGCATTGGAATTTCTTCTACCAAGCGAAAAAGACGTAAACGTTGGATACGAGGGCAGCGATAATTAGCCGAGGAACGAGTGAAAAGATATTTTCACGAGAGACCAATTTGCTAGGAATCATGAAGTTATAAAAGGCCATTAAGAGAATCGCGAAACAGCGATGGTGCAGAGGGCAGAGATATTACGGAAAAATTGGATTTGAGGATTCGTGGAAAAATGTCTTCGAAGTTAAAACCGTAGATAATTAATTAGTCGACGATAATCCCGTTTCTCGTTAGTGAAACAACACGGGCTGTGCTTCTCTCGTGTCAAGGCTGTGTCTCATTTTTCTCGATTTGATTTCGTCCTGGTATTCCGTGGAATGTTAATAATGTACTATAATTAGAATACTTTTAATCTTGAAGTGAAAAGATTAATAAAAGTTTTTTTCAGTGGAACGAGATTTTTTCCTTAATCGAATCAATTTGTTGTGTGTGTATAAACAAAATGGAAATAATATTATAATCTCGAAGAAAATAAAAAAAGAATTTTATCGAAAGTTTTTAAATTTGAAGAGGATTTTTTTTGATGATATTTTGTCGTAACATTCGATTGTAAAAATACTCGGCCATATTGAATATTTTATGAGAAATTGGATGCAGTAAAAAGTAGCAACTTATGTATATTTGTTACTTGGACGAGAGCCTAATTGTTTAAGGAGAAAATATTATGCAGGATAAGAAATCATATATTTTATATTGAATTTTATAAAATTCAATTATAAAAACAAAGAAGAAGAAATACTTGAGAGTAATTTCATTTCAATGATCTTGAAAAAAATAAAATTAATTTTATGATTTACGTAATAAAATTTACATAAAAATAGTACATAGTAATTTTCGTAGATCTTTTCAAAATTAGAATAAGCTCATCTATTTTTTCTTATTTTTTTGTTTATGTAGATGTTATAAGAGAGGAGTTTAAAAAAATTCTATCAAAATTCATGAAGAGATAGCATACCGACGTATTCACCGAAAATTCTAACGTAATTTACGAGAAAACATGGGAGGAAGAAAGAAACGATCGATTATTTAATCGAAAGGTTTTCTATTCGATAAAACTAATAATTCTTTTCGATATAAAATATATGATCTTCGTTGAAGGATATTACAAGAGTAAATTTTGTTCTTTGATAAAATTCAATATTAATTGTTATATTCAAAACATATTTTTGAATATAATTTTTTATTGTAAAATAAAAAAAATCCGAAATCCGTCATTTTGACAGTTTTAATAATTCTAATATTGATAATGAGATTGGGACGATGAAACGAAATAATTAAATTATTTCTCAATACAGATTTTTATTTTTGAATAAAAAAAAATTGATATAATAATGGAAGAACCCGTAAGTGATTAATTCTCGACACAAATAGCCAAATTCTCGCAAAGAATTTGCTGTTTGTTAAAAAAACATGTTTGCAGCTGTCTCGATTCTCGGCTCAATTCTTCGTTATCAATATGCGAAAGAAAAGATAAAATTCAACGAGGCGTGTTTAATATCATGCCACGATTAAGCCGTAATTAGCACGCCTCTAGCTTCAACTGGATTAATAGTTCATCATCAATGATTACGTGGGTTAAAAAATCGTGAACCTCGGGCCCTCGATTGCCGACATCAGACTTTATTTCTCGACTTTATTTCTTTTTCTTTTTGTTATATATTCATAGCGGTTCGTGCAAGTCGAAGGTTATAGCATCGATCAATGTATCGTGATAAACTAGGATACTATAAATACTGATTCACGTTTAACGTTGATTCACTATTTAATTATAATTTTTTATTTTACCGAGAGGAACGATCAATGCATACGTTATTTCGCACAAAAGAATATTGTTCGTTAGAAGAAAAAATAATGAGAAGAATTTTATTTCTCGTTGAAAAAAGTTTATGAAAATTTCACGATTGTTTAAAAAGAAATTGTCGTTGTAAAAGTTTGTCACGATGCATTGGATGCACTATGAGAGAATTAGTTTCCATCGCCTGGATAGCTCAGTCGGTAGAGCATCAGACTTTTAATCTGAGGGTCCAGGGTTCGAGTCCCTGTTCGGGCGAGTTATCTTTTTTTTCCTTTACATGCCCGTTTATTTCGAACGAAGCCGGAATAGTGTAGGTTATAACAGGCTAGAAGGGCATATTCTTTCATCGCCCGGATAGCTCAGTCGGTAGAGCATCAGACTTTTAATCTGAGGGTCCAGGGTTCGAGTCCCTGTTCGGGCGAGTTCTTTTTTTTTATTCGATTATTTATTTAACAATGCCTCAAATAAATCAAATAACGTTATACAATGATTTATTGAATTTTACAAAATGATTTAAACACGTTTTTCATTAATTTCTCTTGGAAATTTGTGAACTAAGAATGAAACATTATGTAACGTTGTATTTCTAAAAATGCGAATATTTTCGAGGCGATCCCGTTTCGTATTTACTACCATAATAGGGAATACGTTTGCATACTGGTTTCCAATCGCACATCCACACCAGAAATATCATGGTAGCGGCGGTGTAATTCAGCACCGATATTTTCCTATACGTAGGAAGGGAAAAAAAAATATGAAGAATCGGGGTCATTGAAAACGCGTTTGCTTTATTCTTAGTAAAAGTTGCAATTTACCATACTTTAGCCTGCTCCATAAAAACCGTCATATTCTTACGGTATTTGGTAAAAATATTAAGATTATTGGTCATTATTCACAATCGGCACAATTAACATTAACGTTAGAATAATCGAAATTAACATAGCAACGAATAAATGATCATCTTTCGATCTTTCGTTTTTCATTCTTTTCATATTCAACCATATTCACAATTTCAAATATTTCTCGATCGTGTACCATCGATTTTAGAAGCTCGAGAGAAAAACTCGAACCGTAACCGGCTTTTTCGTGAATCGTTTCGTGGGATTGTGTTGAATCGTAGTTATCTAATCTGATTCAAAGGGAGACAGGTTTTTCATAGTGTCGAATAATAAGGGAAACGCGATGCTTTTTCAACACGCGTACGAATACAAAACGATGGCGCTTGAATAGAATCTGTATAAATGCAAATGAAACGCACACGTGCATTCATACAGACATATATATATATATGTTTTCAAGCGTTTTATCGTCGCATGAAATATTTCATTTTTCCCAGTTACATCGTGACCGATCGTGTACATGTGTACACGCGTATATATATATATATACACACACACACACACATGTACGTAACTGCAGGGGACAGTCGAGGCAAAAATCGTCGTCATGTGTAGTTCTTATCTAGTTCCAAATGCGAACGAAGTCGAAAAACAAGAGGAATTGTGCAAGAATCGTGCCTCTCTCCCCACCCTTCCCATAGTGGAAATATTGATTACACGGGTTATACATGTAAATCGATGAAAAATTTCATCAGAGTGTTTATTAAAATCTAGCCTTCTCATTTCCGATTGAAATTGCATGTTTATGCAGATATCGTGATAAATCGGAATATAATGAGATTGCAAGTGTTGACGGCAACATTTTGCCTGGATGATGACGTTATCATCGTAAAGATGTTTCCCGTTCTTTTTTTCACTTTTCACGTTTCTCTATCTTTATCTGCGAAAATACCGTTAAGTAGGGAATAATTAGTTTTAATTCAAAATGTCTTATCTCCGCTGTTTTAAACTACGACTTCCCGTTAAGTCTTTTCATCGGAAATAACCCAAGACGACGTGTATACACAATACACGTAATATAATACACACGCGTAATGTGCAAAACAACAAAAAAAAAAAAAAAAAAAAAAAAAANGAAAAGAAAAAAAGAAAAAGAAGAAAAATAGGAACGTAAAGAAGAACGTTTAAAAAAGTAATTTACAATGGAAGAGTGGCTTCGTAATTGGACAGTAAACTCGAAACTAACGCCACTATGAATAAATAATGGGTGGAGAGACAGGTTTCGTAGAACACATTTATTTGTTTTTCCATGAATTTAATGATCGTGCCGCATTCGTACGGACATTTTCAGTTTATTGTACCGTCAGCTGCTTATTTTTTCCCCCCGGCTACGTTCTTTAACGATGTCGTCGTATCCCCGCGAGTTCTTTTGTCTCTCCGCATAGAGAGAGAGAGAGAGACTCTAACACGTGCACACGCGTAAACGTGTGTGCATACACACGCGCGGTGTCGACACTGCTCCCACGTTTTTTCCTTATCCCCCCCCCCCCCTCTCCCCCCTTCTCCCGTCCCCCCACGAAAGAAAGCTCCTGTACGCACATGTCTCTCCTCGAGCAGATCTCCTCGGCCCTCGTAAATTTCGTTTCTGTGAACCCCGTTTCTTTTCACACAATACGATTCCCCACCGTACGCGCGCGTGTATGTGTATACGTACGCGCGCCACCACGTGGCGTTACGTCAAACGGGAGTTTGTTTTTCATTTTATCTCGGCCCGGGCTATTTACGCTTTCCACCGTGATCACCCGGATTCCTAGGAGCAAACCTCCTCTCCTCTTCGAATTCCCAATCCTCTTCCCCGATTCTCTTTTCCGCTTGGCGGATTTTTCTCTCGGGATAGAGTTGCGATATCCGACCCAGGTTTCCCAGAATATTAATAATTTTTTGACCATCTGCAATTGGTCCCCCCCCCCTCTTGCCGTTCGTAGATGAAAATCGAGAATTATTCGAGTCCCATTATAAATTATTCTTAATTTTCGAATACCTTCGAAAGTGAGTTATAAAATTTTAGGGATCCTGAAATCGGATTATAGATCGTTCCACGAAATTTCCACCCTCTTAATTTTCCTCTTTCTCGTAACATTAGTATAAAATTTATCGCGAATGCAATTTACCGAAATCGACCTCGTTGCACGAGAATTCCTCCATTCTTCGAGTCTCGAACGTGTCATTCCGCCTTTTTCCAATGAAAAATCGTTCGGTGTTTACGGGCTCGTGGTATTTTTCCGCATTTTTTTACGATAGCTCTCCGTCACAGACATCGCGTCGACGCGGGACTGTGGGAGAGGGGGAAGGGGGGAGAGGGGGAGGATTATGATGCAATCCTGTTCAAAGATGGACAAGCGATCGTGTCCTTGGCAAAGACCCGCGAAACGCTTCGGGGCATCATCCTTGAAGCTTTTACGAGATTACGATCGATCATAGGCGGCAACTCCACTGTCTGTAATTATTGCCCATTGTCCGTTGGCATTATCGATTACTCACCACGGACTACTTCTCTATTCGTCCCACGAACGTGTGACGTGTGGCATCGCTTTTTTTTTTTTTTTTTTTTTTCCGGTATCCGATGCAATTATTTCACGTCTCTTGCCGCGCTACAATCAATATTAGCACATTTGTTCGGTGATCAAGGTCAAAATGTATACCTCTCTCTCTCTCTTTCTCTCTCTCTCTCTTTCTGTTTGTTGAATCACGCTTTCGAATAGGTTTGCTCGCGATGAATGCAAAATGAGATACATCGTTTTGTTTTTTTGTTTTTTTTTTTTTTTTTGATTTAATGAGTTTTAGATATGGAAAAATATAAATGGATATCTTTAGAAAATTTCATTACGTGAAAAGCGATAATGGGTAGTATCAGTATTGTGATTTTTAAGAAATTTTTTACCTTTTTTTCTAAATTAAAAGCGATATAGATATAACAATGAGTTTTCCAAATTCCAGATTAATTAATCTTACCTCATTCCACAGATTCTATTTGAGAATGAGAAATAAAAAGGAGAAATTGCAACAAATTGTTCAAAATTGTTCGGTGTACAAATACAAGTTCGTGAAATGTGATATGAAATCCCGTTACCAGAATATAAAGGATCTATTCGATCTTTGAGAAAATAAATCGTACTCGAGGAAATACGTGGCTTGAGTAAACAATTAGAAATCAATTAGAAGCTTGCCATAATTTCCATAGCGTGAAAAATCAAGATGGAAAGATCGTGTGCACACGGTGTGATACGATAGATTTGGAGGGAGGGGGAGATCGTTACAAAAGAAACGAATGCAATTAAAACGGGCAATTATTGGACGGTCGAATTATTGGACGTCATAAAAACGCGACGTGGTGGAAGATGATGGCGGCGATTCGAATGCAAAAATCATATCGGGCGGGACGATCGGTATTCAACTGGCGACCTGT